CTCATCCAGGAGCGCGGCAACGTCGCCTTCAACTACCTCTTTCCGGACGTCATCGCGTTCGACGAACCCAACTTCCTCGGCCAGAGCGGGGACGGTATCGTCGGCGAGCGCCTGCGCCGCGGCTAACCCGTACAGAGCTCCGCGATCGCCCTGGACGACCCGGGCAGGATGTCGGCATTCGATCTGGCGGCCACGGAGCGCGACGAGCTGTTCAACACGCGCGTCTCCGGCTACCAGGCGTGGGCCCACGCCATGCGCAAGCTGATTCCGACGCCGCGCGGGGCGGCCCGGGTCGACATGACCGGGATGATCCTGGACGCCGGCGCCGCGACCACCACCGAGGCGGTCGACTACCTGCTCGCCCGCTTCCTCCGAATGCCCGTATCGAGCGCGACGCGCGACGACCTGATCGCGCTCCTCAGTGACGAGCTCGGCACCACGGATATCAATCGGGCCAGCACCTACCTGGAAGACCCGCTGCGCATGGTGGCCCACCTCATCATGAGCACGCCGGAGTACCAGATCGACTAGGAGTCCGTCGTGGAACCCCACGTCGCCCGTCCTGCATGTCCCTGCTGAACTGGCTGGTCGCCGTCCTCGCGTTGTGCGGGTTCGCCTTCGTCGGCCTCCTGGCCTACGCCCAGCTGCTCGGCAATCCGCGCGTCATGCGCGAGCTCGAGAGCAATCCGCAAGGCAAGCAGGCCGGCGGCGTCATGCTCCTGAGCCTGCCGACCGGCCGCGCGCTGCCGGTCAACTACCGGCGCGAAGGCGATCAGGTGTTCGTGGGCGCCGACGGCCCCTGGTGGCGCGCCGTGCGCGACGGCGACGCGCCGGTGACCGTGACGATACGCGGCGAGAAGCTCACCGGCCGGGCGCGCGTGGTACTCGACGACCCCGACTACAAGCGCAGCGTGTTCGAGCGCCTGCGGCCCAACGTCCCGAATTGGCTGCCGGCGTGGCTCGACGCCCACCTGGTGGTCATCGACCTGGACGAGCGGCATCCCTAAACCGCCGGCCATGCGCCGACGCCTCGACGCCGATTCGTGGCGACCGGCTACCCTACCGACTCGTCCACCTTGCCGGCATCGAACGCGAGACGGTCCCGCACCAGCTCGGCTTCGCGAAACGGCTGCTCGTAGCTCCACGCCGCATCGCGGATCTCGCCGTTGGGGCCGCGGATGACGTAGTAGGTGGCAAGCCCCTTGAACGGGCAGTACGTCGTCTTCCCGGTCTTCGCCACCCGCGTCATGTCGACGCCGTCGCGGGCCAGGTAATGGCGCGTCGGATAGCCCTGCTCTTCCAGGGCCACGACGTCGGTCGTCGCCGCGACCGCGATCCCGCCGGCGGTGACGGTCACGCGTGCATGCCGCGGCACGTACGCGATCCGATGCCCCGGTGCACGGGCATAGCCCGGACCGCCGGTGTGCCGGGCGGTATGCCGTCGGTCAGTCAGCCATACGCCATTTCTGCGCCGGTCCGGCGCACGAGGCGCGCGTTGCGGCTGCGCTTGCCGAGCCCGCCGGGGCCGGCGTCGGCGCGCATCGAGCGAGTTGTCGCTGAGGTCCCTGGGACATGGCGAGCGGTCGAAGACGCGTCGCGCCGACTAGCGCTCCGGCAGTACACGTCAGTATTTCCGGGCGAAATTCGGACTGATCCGCAGCGCGACGGGGCCCGCTCTGCCGCAGCGACGCGCGCGGGTCGTGCTCGACGACCCCGACTACAGACCCAGCGCATTCGAGCGCCTGTGGCCGAACGTCCCGAATGACTGCCGGCCTGGCGCGTCGCCCACCTGGTGGTCCTCGATCTGGCCGAGTAGGCAGGGTCACGGCTTCGCCGACTGTCGGCCTGTCCCCGGCCAGCAACGCATCCGCGGGAACGTTGTGCGCGCTGACGACGATTTATTTTTCGTCGCTTATCGTTTTTTGCTTGACAGCTTTTTCGAGGCTGTGGCGGTCCTGTCCGGACCGGCTTCAGGAATGCGCCTCAGACCGTCCCTCTGCGCCGCTGGCGGCCCTGGCCGAACCCGGGCACCAGAATCGTCAGCTCTCGCGCCCGCAGCGGCGCGCCAGTGCCGTTAAAGCCCTTTTAAACAGTAGGTTATGATGAAGCATGCCTGATTCACCCACTCACCGACGACGACTACCCCGCTCGCCTGACAGCAGTCCAGCCACCCGCCGAGATAGGCGAGGCCATCCACCAGCACACGCCGGAATTCACGTGCGCGGTCGTATCGCCCATCGGCGGGCGGGGCCCGCGCGCCGAGATGGAGCAGCTCGCGATCGGATCGCCGACTCGAGCTGCCCGCATCCAGGCCGCCACCTACGAGCTACTGGTTCTCATTCAGCCAAGGGTTCTGACCAGAGCGCAGGCTGGCGCGACGTTTTTCCTCTGCGCGCACTGGTGAGCTGCGCGTCGGTCTTGTCGACAGGCCGCCCGCGAGCACGTGCGGGTGGCGCGCGCCCTCGCCGACCTGCCAGGTGAGCGACGCCATGCGGCGCGGCGTGATCTCCTACTACTCGAAGGTGCGGGCCGTCCCGCGGGTTTGGCGACACCCAGAGACCGAGCAGACGCTGCTCGACGTGGCGCTGGCCGGGACGGCGGCGCACGTAGAACAGGTGGTACGCGCTGGCGGCGCTGGACCGGGCACGCGGAGCGGCGGACGACCGGCACCGCCACGCCCGCCAGCCGCGTGCTGCACACCGTGTGGACGACGACGGCATGGTGGTGATCCGGGGGCGGCTGGCGCCGGAGTCGGCGCCGTGGTGCGGCGGGCTCTGGAAGCCGCGCTGGATGAGGAACGGCGCGCGGCGCAGCGTGCGTCTGCCGGACGAGCCGGACCCTGTGGACGAAGCGGTGGGGGGTGGCGCCGAGTTTCGTGCAGCGGCAGGCGGATGCATGGATGGTGGCCGAATGCGGGCAACTGGCCGGCGATCTGGACCGCGCACGGCGGCGCGACCGCTACAGGTCGTTTGCATGTGGACGCCGGCACTGCTCGCAGAGATTCGGACGTTCCCGGGGGACGTCCCCTCCGGGACCCGAGCCACCATCGCTCGCACGCGAGACTCCGATGGGCTGTCCGGCGCGTCGCCGCGTCCAGGCCCCGGCGTCGGTGCCACCGGTCAGGCGCACTTAAGAAGCGGGCGGCATCCATGTCTCATGACGCACCGCACAGCGTCTGGGCCTGCGACTCCGCCACACGTTCGAGATGCGGCATGGTCCGGACGGGCAGGTGTCTCGACGTCGGCCCGCGAGACCCGCACCATCTCCCCGCACCTGCGCCGGCGCTGGCGTCTCGCGACCGGCAGTGCCGCTTTCCTGGATGCCAGGCTCGCCGCTGCGATGCGCATCACATACGGCACTGGGAGCATGGCGGGGCGACCGCGCTCGACAATCTCGTTCTGCTGCTGCCGGCGGCATCACCGGCCGTGCACGAGGAGGGGTTCAAGTCACGGTTGACTCAAGCGGCGCGGCGGCGTTCGTGCGGCCCGGACGGGCGCCCGCTACCGACCGTGCCGCCGGCACCGGACTGGACCGGCTTGCCGCTGGAGCCGACAGCGAGGCGGTTGGCGGCAGCCGGCATGGACATCGACGGGAACACCGCCACGCCGGCGTGGCGCGGCGAGCGACTGGACCTGAAATGGGCAATTGGAATCCTGTGGCGGCCGCGGCCCGGAATGGCCAAAGAGCCCGGCGTTCCCGCGGGAACGTCCGGCCTGTGACGGCAGCGTGGAATCAGTGATCCGTCGTCGACTGACTGCATTGTCGGACGGAGCAACCGCCGGCTGCCTACACCGCTCGCGCAGTCACACCCTATTCAACCCAGGCAGCAGGATACGGTCGAATTCGAACGTCAAGAAATCCGCTCTGACGATCCCTCCTCGCCCGCTGGATCGCCAATCATGGCTCCATAGCCATCCCGGAAGCCGGGGTACTCGAACGCGTAGCCGCTGGCGACGAGGCGCACGTTGCGGCAGCGCTTGCCCGCGCCTGGCGAGCCGGAGGCCGCGCGGGCGGGGGCGGGAAGCCCCAGCCGCCCGGCGATCCAGTCCATCACCGAGCACTGCGTGGCCGGCTCGTGGTCGGCGCCCAGATACAGCGGCAGCGGGCGGTCGAGCTGCGTGAGGTGGCGCAGCACGCCGGCGCAGTCGTCGCGATGGATCCGGTTCGTGTATGCCTCGCTGCATGGTTCGCCCGCGCGCACCCGGTCGATCAGCCGGGTGCGGCCCGGTCCGTAGATGCCCGCCAGGCGTACGACAACAGCCGGCGCCGCTGTCTCGCCAGCCGCGGCTTCACCCTCGAGCAGCAGCCGGGCGTACGGGTCGCTATCACCGGTAGGCGAATCTTCGTCCACCCATTCCCCGCCGCTCTGCGGATAGACGCGAGTGCTCGACGTGTACAGCACCCTGCGCAGCGTGCTGGTGCGAGTGACGGCCTGCAGCACGTTGCGGACACCGTCAACGTATGCGGCGCGGTACGCGGCGGCCGAGCGCCCGTCGGCGGCGGCCGTGTAGCACAGCACGTCGAGCCCGCCCGGCAGCTCCGCAGGCTGTCGGGATCCCGCAAATCCCCTGCGACCGGCTGAACGCCCGCCGGCAGAAGATGCGCGCGCCGGCGCAGTCCGTACACCTCGTGCCCGGCCGCGAGCAGGCGCCGCGCCAGCTCCCCCCCGACATCCCCGCACCCGGCGATCAGGACCCTCATGAACGTCCGTTTCAAGAATTAGCGGGCAAATCCTTTGGTATGATGAATCGTCATACCACTCAGACCAATGCCGAAAGCCAAGGTCGCACTGACACTCGACGCTACGCTGCTTGACCGTGTCGACGCCTGGTGTCGGAGCAACGATACCGAAATCGGAGTCAGGCGGTAGAAGCCGCCCTGGCGGAAAAACTCGATCGGTTGGCCGGCATCCGCCTGGCGACCGAGTGCAGGAAGCTCGATCCCGCCGTCGAGCAGCACCTCGCCGAGGAAGGTCTCGCCGGTGACTCGTGGCCCGAATACTGAGAGGCGATGTTCGCTGGGCCGACCTCAACCCGGTCCGCGGCCGAGAACAGGCCGGCCAGCGGCCGGTGCTCGTTCTCAGCCACGACGTTTTCAACGAACGGTCCGGCACGGTGATTGCGATAGCCGTTACCAGTCGTGAGCCGACGGCAGGCTTTCCGTTGTCGCTACGACTGAGCAGCGTGAAGCTGCCCAAGCGCTCGTGGGTGAAGATCAGTCAGATCCGGACGTTGTCGGTCGAGCGCATCGGCCGGCGGCTGGCCCGGGCGTCGGATGAGGAAATTGCGGCCGTCGTGGACGGACTCGTGGAAATCCTCGGGTAGTCCGTGGAGATGGGATCCGCGGGGTCGTCTCGACACGCGACGTCTAGAATGGCCGCAGCGAGGGACGCTTGAAAAAATGGAGGCTCCGATGAGGAACGTTCTCGCCACGGCGCTTGCAGGTACGTTGCTGATCGGTGTGGGCGCGGGCGCCCAGCAGCAGAAGAGACCTACGACTACTGGCAGCAGCAGCGGCGGATGGTCCGCCACGGCCAGCAGGCGCTCCTGATGTGCAACGGCCTGTTCACGTCGAACCGGACGCTCGAGCAGGTCTTCGCGCAGGAGCTGGCGTTCCTTCCGGAGCCGGTCGGGACGGCCGGCGGCGGCGACTACGAGGTCGACCAGCGCCGGAAGGCCGTGACGGTCGGCGCCGGGCACGGCACGCCGCGGATGCGGGCCGCGTTCCGCGACGGGATCGGCTGCGTGATCCTCGCGCCCGACCAGACCCTCGACGACATCGATGGCCTGCCGGAGCCTTGCGATGGCGCCGCCACCCGGCGACCCGTCGGCGATACGCCTGGCCGGACGGCGACAAGGTCGCGTCACATCCGCTCCCGTCCTACGTTGACGAGGCCGCGCTGCGGGCGGCCTCCGACTGGTCGTTCGACCGGGAATCACCCGAGCAGGTGACGCTCAGCCTGCTCGTCGTCCATCGGGGGCGGATCGTCCACGAGCGGTACGCGCCGGGCGTCGAGATGACGACGCGGACCCGGACCTGGTCGACGGCGAAGAGCATTGCGTCGACGCTGATCGGGATGCTGGTCGATGAGCGGAAAGCTGGCGCTCGACGCGCCGCTCGGCTACGACTTCTTCCCGGCGTCGGCCAGCGGCCGGGATCCGCGCTCCGGCATCACGCTGCGGCACGTCCTGAACATGTCGAGCGGACTCCAGACGGTCGACAACGGCGGCCGCGAGTACGCGATCGGCTCGGGTCTTTCGTACTGGGCCGGGGCGAGCTCGGTAGTCGGCGCGCGGAGCCGCGCGTTGATTCGCGAGCCGGGAACCAACTGGGACTACGAGAACTACGACACGCTGCTCGGCGTCTACGCCCTGAAACGCGCCCTCGGCAGCGAGCAGGTCTACCGCGAGTTCCCGCGGCGCCGGCTGCTCGACCGCATCGGGATGCGCAATACGCTCGTGAGCACCGACCGCTTCGGCGACTTCATCCTGAGCAGTCAGGTGTATACGAACGCGCGCGACCTGGCGCGCTTCGGGCTGCTGTACCTGCAGGGCGGCGTCTGGAACGGCGAGCGGCTCATCTCGGAGGAGTGGATCGACTTCGTCCGCACGCCCGCGCCCGCCACGGCAGAGAGCGGCAACTTCTACGGCGGACAGTTCTGGCTCGTCCCGGACGGCCGGACCGACGTCCCGAAGAATGCCTATGCGACATCGGGCAACCGCGGGCAGTACGTGGTGATCGTGCCGACCCACGACCTCGTCATCGTGCGCCGCGGGCTCGACTACGGGCGGCAGGGCTTCGACCGCTGGGACATGACCCGCGAGGTGCTGAAAGCGTTCGGGGAGATGCCGTCGCAGGAGCAGTGACCAACCCCGCCGCAACCGCCATCGGTGGCCCCGTCTCCCAGGCGGCCCGCATCGACGCGATCGATGTGCTGCGCGGCTTCGCGCTGCTCGGCATCCTGGCCATCAACATCCAGTACTTCGCGATGCCGGATGCGGCGTACTTCAATCCGACCGCCTACGGCGACCTGCAGGGAGCAAATCTCCAGGTCTTTCTCTGGAGCCGGCTGCTGGCGGACCAGAAGTTCATGACGATCTTCTCGATGCTGTTCGGCGCCGGCATCGTCCTGATGGCGGCGCGGGCGGCGGAGCCCGGCGATGCCCGCCGCAGGCACTACCGCCGCATGGCGTGGCTCGGGCTCATCGGCCTGCTGCACGCCCACCTCCTCTGGGCCGGCGACATCCTGTTCCTCTACGCCGTCTGCGGCATGCTGGTCTTTCCGCTGCGCGGGCTTTCGCCGAGGCTGCTGTTGGCGATTGGCGCCGCCACCATCAGCGTGGCGTCGGCGATCTCCCTCGCCGGCGGGGCGTCGCTACCCTACTGGCCAGACGCGGCACGGAGCGATTTCATCGCCACCCTCTGGCAGCCGCCGCCGGCCATGATCGAAGCCGACCTCGCCGCCTATCGGGGCGGCTGGCTCGAGCAGCTTCCCGCCCGCTCGGCAACGGCGTTCACCTTCGAAACATTCATCCTGCTCACCTGGGGCATGTGGCGGGCCGGCGGGCTGATGCTGATCGGGATGGCGCTGTTCAAGCTCGACGTCTTCCGCGCACAGCGCTCACGGCGGTTCTACGGCGCGCTGGCAGTCGCGGCGCTCGTTCTCGGTTTCTCGATCGACGGCTACGGGGTCGTTCTCGATTTCCGCTACGGCTGGGACATCTGGTCGTTCTTCCAGGGCGAGCAGTTCAACTACTGGGGGAGCATCGCGGTCAGCCTCGGCTACGTCGGTCTCGTGATGCTGGCGTGCCGGACGCCCGCCCTGCGCGGCGCCACCCGCCCATTTGCCGCGGTCGGCCAGACGGCGCTGACCAACTACCTGCTGCAGACGGTGATCTGCACGACGATCTTCTACGGGCACGGCCTCGGCTGGTACGGGTCGGTCGACCGACTGGGACAGATCGGCGTCGTGGCCGGCGTCTGGGCGCTGCAGTTGATCGCGTCGCCGCTCTGGCTGCGGCGCTACCGCTTCGGTCCCGCCGAGTGGTGCTTGCGCGCGCTTACCTACCGGACCCGCCCGGCGCTGCGGCAGGTCGCGGTCGCGCGGTCAATCATCGAGACCACGGTCGACGCGACCAGCACGTAGGCCGTGATACGCGCGAGCAGCGTCAGCACGGGCGCCTGGCCGGGCATCACCTCCAGCGGTGCGGCCGCCAGAATCACCAGCGGGACGAAGTAGCCGATGCCGTTCCAGCGGCCGACGGCGCTCATCCGCAACCGCTTCTCCCGGTGCAGCCACCAGGAGTCGACCAGGTACTGGCTGAAGGCGGTGGCGACCAATATCGGCAGCGCCAGCGGGATGCGGCCGGACAGCGCCGCGCCGGTCAACGCGGCGGTCACGAACAGGCAGTCGGTGGCGTGGTCGAACAACTGGCCACCCGCCGTGGCCGTGCCCTGCCGCCGGGCGACGACCCCGTCGAAGTAGTCGGTTGCGATGGCCGCGGCCAGCAACAGCGCAACGACCAGCGGGTGCAGGTAATCCGGGCCGGCGAAAGCGACCGCCAGCGGCAGCGCCAGAGCGAGACGGATGCCCGTCAGCAGGTGCGCCATGCCGGAGATGGCCGCCTATCCGAACAGATCCCGCTGCGCCCGCCGCCAGAACGCCGCCCCGATGAGCGCGTTGAAGAGGATGAAGAAGTTGTGCTGGACGAAGCCGAACGCAGCCATCTGCCCCTCGTTCTCGGGAAACAGAATCACCCAGGACGTGATGGCGGCGGCGCGCATCGGCGTCGGCACGGCGGCGGCGAAGAAGATGACCGGCAGGTAGCCGAGCAGCTCCAGCAGCGACGCGTCGACGCCGAACAGGTTCAAGGCGGTTGTGTATACGACCACCGCCGCGAGCAGCGCCGGCGAGCGGAGCACCAGGAACAACGCATAGTGCTTGAGTCTCGCCGCTCGGAATGCGTGTAGGATCCGCCGCTCCCGCAGGCGCTGGCCGACCGGGATCATGCCCCGGAAGTACAGGACCCAAGCTGCGAAGACCGGCACCGCGCCGGCGGCGAGCCAGGGGATGAGGCCGAATGCCGGCGGCAGGGAGGATCCGCTGGCGAGGTAGCCGACGGTCGCCCAGAACAGCAGGTAGAACGTCTCGCAGAACATCACGAACAGCATCACCGAGCCGACTTCCCAGCCCGGCACCTTGTCGCGCCGGTTCAGGTAGTAGGCCATCGCGCCCTTGCCGATCTGCTCGTTGAAGATGGAGATGATGTAGGCGCTGGCGCGGATGGGGAGGATGTCCCGGTAGCGGATCGGCGTGATGAACCAATTGAGCGCGCGCGTGACGACCAGCGTGTCGATGCAGAAATAGAACCCCGAATAGCCGGCCATCAGCGCGATCCAGGGCACCCACTCGACGTTGGCGAAGACGCGGGCCATGTAGCCGGCCAACGACAGCCCCTCGCGCAGTGCGGCGCCGTTCAAACGGAAGTACAGATAGGCGAAGCAGGCGACGCTGAGGGCCACGAACGCGGCGCGGCCGGCGCGGCTGCGTCCCGCTTGGGCGCCTGGTGCGGGATTCTCGGGGGGCGGGGCGTCACTTTGTGGCGGCTTGGTGATCGTCATGCTCCTCCAGCGGCTTCCACCAACTTCGCCAGCGTAGCCGACAATGGCGTCAGGCTGATTCCCAGATCGCGGTCGGCGTTGCGCTCCACAGTCTCGTCCGACGTAATGACCTCGATGACCGCTGGAGTCAGACCGCCCGTGCGAACGAGTCCGGCCAGGCGGGCGCCCAATCTGGCAAACCAAATCGGTGTCGAGCCGACCGACAGGTCGTTGCCCAGCAGGCGCGCGGTGCGCTGCAGCAGATCACGATAGCTGAGCCTGGTCGGCCCGACCAGCTCGTACGTCGCGCGCCACCCACCGGGAGATCGGTGAGCCCGTAACCTTCGGCCACCGCGACCAACTGGTACGTGCGCCGGCACGCCGTTGCAGCGCATCAATGGCGCTGCACAGATCGTCGACGTCGAGCGGGCGTAGCAGGTGCACCCGCCGCCCAGCACCCGCACCGAACCGCGGGACGCGTCGCGCAGCAGCGCGCGGCCGCCGGCCGTCCCGGGACCCAGCAGCAGCGGTGTGCGGATGATGGCTGCGTCGGCGCCCGCCGGCACCACGCGCTCCGCCTGGCCCTTGGACCGGTAGTAACCGTTCGACGAGCGCGGGTCGGCGCCGAGCGAGCTGACGAACACGATTCGGCCCACCCCGGCGTCTCGCGCTGCCTCCACCAGCGCCCGGGTGGTATCGACATTGGCGGACCGATACGCGCGAACTTGGACTCTCGAACAGGACGCCGGCGAGGTGCACGACGCAGCGGCGCCGGCCAGCAGGGCCCGCAGGCTGTCGGAATCGTCGTAGTCGATAGAGCGGGCCGCAATGTGCGGAGATTGCGGCAGGCCGGCCAGCGCCTGCGGGCGCCGCACCCCGGCGGCGACGCGCTGCGTCGCCTCGCCTGCAAGCCGCGCCAGCAGAACCCTGCCGACGGCGCTGTTGGCGCCGGTTACCGCGACAATCTCGCCACCCACGTGATCCGTCGATTCTCCCCTGTGCGCCTGTCTCGGGCTGCCCCGCACGATGCGGCGCCGCCGGGTCGGCTCATGCTACCGCAACGGCGCCCATCCAACCGGTCCGCCATGCGCCGCTCGGGCACGAGGAGTCCGCGGTGAAAGCCCCGCTGCATTCGAACGGCGATGCATCCCGCCTGAGCTGCGTTGCTCGTCGCTCGCATATCTCGAATATGCTCACTCCTCGCGCCTTGTACTGGCCGGACGCGGCATTGATACGGCCGGTCTCGGTGCGACGCGGGGTTTCACCACGGACTCCTAGCCGGTGGCTCCGTCGGCGGATTCGGGCTTCCGACGTTCAAACGCGTGGAATTCGTCGCGAAAACGCGGTATGGTCGCCTGATAAAGCGGGTCGCGCCTTGACCGCCGGCGAGACCGCGTCAGGAGGTGTCGCATGACGTACCGACTCGCACTGATCGCGGCCGCAATGGGGATGATCGCCACGGTCCCCCTGTCCCCCGCAAGTCAGGATTCGCCGCCCGCCGCTGGCGGCGAAGGATCGAGCTGGCAGCTGCCGCGCACCCCGTGGGGCGATCCCGATTTCCAGGGAATCTGGACGCGGGACGCCGTCGACACGCCGATGGAGCGGCCCGCGGAGTACGGCAACCGGGAGTTTTTGACCGCTGCGGAGATCGCCGAACGGGAGCGGGAATCGCAACTGGCATACGAGCGCCGGCTGAGCGAAGAAGACCCCGCTGGCCCACGCAGCACCTCCGACGCGCAGCGCGCCGCCAGCGGCTTCGAAGCGGGCATCCGCGGGGAGGAGTACAACAATTTCTGGATGGCGCGCCCGTCGAGGCAGCGGGTGTGGGGGCGGACGTCGCTCGTCGTGGACCCGCCCGACGGCCGCATCCCGCCCTTCACGCTCGAGGCGGTCGAACGGCTCGAAGCCCGTGAACGTGCCAGGCGCGGGCGCGGCGAGACCGACTCGTGGGCGGATCGCAACCTCAATGAACGTTGCATGAGACCGCAGGCGGCGACGGGGCTCGGCGGAACGTTCAAGATCGTGCAGGCGCCCGGCTGGGTCGCGTTCCTCCCAGACGGGCTGCAGTATGCGAAGCTCGTGCCGCTCGACGGGCGCCCACAAGCCTCCCCGAAGGTCAACGGCTGGTTCGGGAGACCCCGCGGCCATTGGGAGGGAGATACGCTCGTTGTCGAGATCGCCAACTTCAACGACAAGCAGGATGGGGGCCCGATAATGCCCTCTCATTTCGGCCAACACGGACAGATCACCGGATACCTGGGGTCGGGGGAAACGCTGAGCAGAATCGAGCGATACCGGCGCGTCGGGCCGGATACGATGGAGTACGCCGTCACGACCGACGATCCCGGTCTCTACGTCCGGCCGTACACCGTGCTGCGTCCGCTGATCAGGGACGACAGCTTCCTGATGCTGCAGTCGGGCTGCCACGAGGGCAACTACGGCATGCCGAACAGTCTGAGCGCCGCGCGGGCCGACGAGGAGGGTGCGTTGCGGGCAGCCGCCGAGGAAGCGGCTCTGCGTCGCCCGCAACTGGTGGAGATGCGGCGGGAAGCCGAGGCGTGGGCGGCGGCACAGGCTGCTGCCGAACGCTGATCTGTCTGAAAACCCGGCGCGCGCGCCGCACGGGAAGTCGAGCAGGGAACCCGGGCGAGAAGGTGCGGGCGTGTCTTGCGGAACAGTGCGGCGCACAAGGAGGTCGAGGATGACGCGAAACCTGATCGTTGCGAGAAACCTCGTGTTCGCGGGCGGTGCAATCCTGGCGGTTGCGCTTGTGGCTCTGCCTGCCTGTCAGTCACCGGCGCCCGCCATCTCCATGGATGACGACGACATCGCCGGGGTGGTGACCGGCCCGAATGGGCCGGAAGCGGGCGTCTGGGTGATCGCCGAAACGCGGGAGCTGCCCACCCGGCACATCAAGACGGTCGTCACCGACGACGAGGGCCGCTACCTCATCCCCGATCTGCCGCCGGCCACCTACGACGTCTGGGTGCGGGGCTACGGTCTGGTGGACTCCGCGAAGGTGCAGGCCTCGCCGGGCGACGCGGTTGACCTGACCGCCGTGGCCGCGCCGGACGGACGCGCCGCCGCCGAGTACTATCCGGCCCAATACTGGTTCTCCCTGCTCCAGGTCCCGCCGCCGGACCACTTCCCGGGCACCGGACCGGACGGAAACGGCATCTCCCCCGCGATCGAAACGCAGGGCGCGTGGATCAGCGGCGTCATCAACACGGACGGCTGCACCGGCTGCCACCAGCTCGGCAACAAGGCGACGCGGGAGATTCCCGCCGCCTTCAGCGAATTCGATTCGCATGTCGACGCCTGGGACCGGCGCATCAAGTCCGGCCAGGCAGGCATCAACATGGACTCCCGGTTCAATCAGGTCGGCCGCCAGCCGGCG